ATCACAAAATTACTAAAACTAAATATGCAGATTTTGAATGCATTTACATAGATGTAAATTCCTCACCCTTTAGTGACAACTCACCTTTTTGAGATCAAAATAGGCCACCTGTGAGATCTGCTTAGATCCGGTGAGAAAGTGTTTTTATGAGGGGGGTTCTTGTGATCTGTCAAGGGTAAATAAAGAGCTGGTTGTTTCAATAAGTTTTATATAGTATTCTATTTACTCTTTACTTCAAAAACTGTCTAAAAGGGGTAGTATTTGATGTATTTGAGGTTTGAGATGTGGGAACAGTGAAGAGAGAGAGGGCAAACATTTAGCATTTTAAGTCAGTGTTGCTGTCTAATCAGACAGTATTGTCTTAAATAGCCTGCATAGCACTTCATCTTTTATAGCATGGGATTTTGACCAAATATATTCAATCTTGATTTTTGTAAAATGTTGCAACAAGTTGTTAATTAAAAAAAAAATAATAATTTTTTGTGAAAAATTAGTTTTGGACATTACTTCATAAAAAATAAAAAACCTTAAAGTAACTACAAATGAGCATGTAAAGCAAATATCTTTAAAAGCATGCCCCCGATCCGCACGATGTTCTCACCTTTTTTCCTCCTTATTACCTGTTTGCGTCTCTGCATTTATATATGAGGCATCAATATGAACAAAAATCACCCTGAAAGGAGACCATATGACGTGTGCTGTATTTCATGTTTTCTGAAGTTCTCTGCTGTCTGCTGAGTGAGTATTTAGCTTCTTTAATCTTTGTGCGTCCCAGACAGATGCTCTGAGTTTAGCAGTAAGTAATGACCGAGCGAGTTTGCCTTTATTCATGTTTTAACAGATCCCTCTCTCTGTGTGTCTTTCGCAGGCCGTTCTTCGAGGGAATGTCCCAGTCGAGCTCTCAGACTGAGATCGGCAGCTTGAACAGTAAAGGCAGTCTGAGCAGAGAGCCCTTCAGTCCTGTGAGTACAGACACTGCATATATCAGGCAGAGCTCCTCCATGCTCCTCAGCAGTTTTCTGAAAGCACCACATGCATGCGTGGAAAAAGAGTGCAAAGCATGACTCTGTGTATTAAAACTGATTCAGAAGGAAGTGTTTAAACATTAGAAATGTATAAGGTATAATGTATAACGTATCTTTTCTCTCGGTAACAGCACGTCGTTTGAAGACACTAAAGGACTTTTTGTCTCTCTTGGATTTTTATCTCAAATTTTCGGAATAAACATAAAGAATCAGAATTCAGAATCTGAATTC